CACATGTTCCAGGCATGGTGGAACACATCTACAATGCCGGTACTGAGGAGCTGGTGAGAGACAGATCCATGGAGCCCATTGGTGAGCCAGCCCAGTGGAATCAGCAAGCTTCAGGTTCAGTGAGAGAACTTGTTTCAAAAATTAAGCTTGGCAACGATGGAGGAGGCTTCCCAACACTGATCTTTGGCCTCTACACACATGCACAAATACATACACATGTACCCAGACGCACATGTCTACACACCCACATGAACATGTTTGCATACATGAACATGTACACACACACACACACACACACACACACACACACACACACAATGACACAGAGATGGGGGAGGAGGGAATGAAAAGGGGGAGATTGTAAAGGACAATCTGAGGGCTGGAGGAGCCCCACCCTGCATAGGTGGTGTACTGGTGGGGGCATCTTGGATTCTTTTGGATTCTTTGCACATAGATTTACAACCTGTCTCGTTGTGGGCAGTTCAGAGTGGACAGGTAGAGTCTTACTACAGAGGTAGGCGCAAGGCACAAGATATTTCAAATTCTAAATCACACACACACACACACACACACACACACACACACACACACACACATACACACACACTGATATCAACTTTCTATGCTAACTCAAGACATTATTTTTTTTCCTGTTAAGAACATGGATCAAAGTTCAACAATTCCCAGAAAATAAGAATTTTAAACCTCAATTGGCTTCCAGTTTGAAAATTAGCAAGCGTTTTACCACCCTACCATCTAAAGGTTTAAAAAAAAATAAAGTGACAGACTAGAGAGAATGCTTGAAGTGTGTAAGATGGAAGGAAGGTGGCTATGTACAAGCATATATACCCACGAAACATCCCACTTCTTAAATGCTCTGAAACCCAAATTTCCAGAGCATACCCATGACATCATGAGTGGAAAATGCTAAACCTGCTTCGTATGACAGGTCACAGTTAAAATGCAGGCACAAATAATGTGCAAAATTACCTTTAGGCCATGTCTATAAGGTATACATAGCATACAAATGAATTGTTCAAGCCATGCATGCTTGCACATAGCTGTAATCCCAGGAGGGCCATGATTTTGACACCAGCCTAGGTTACACAGCGAGACAAGAAGGAGGAGGAGAAGGTAGAGAAGAAAGAGGAGGAGGAGGAGAAGCAGGAGGAGGAAGAGAAGCAGGGGGAGGAGAAGAAAGAAAGAAGAAGAGAGGAGAAAGAAAAAATAATTTTGTTTACTTTTTTGTGTGTTTAATCTTGGGTCCCACCCTTCACCATACCTTGTTATTTATGTGCTAATATTTCAAAGTATCTTAAAAATCCAAATTTTGAAACGCTCCTTACAAAGTATTTCAGATAATGGATATACAGCCTGTATTTATTATATTATTATTAAATTATATCACTACTTCTACTTTTATTTATCTAATTTCTTTAGCATTTCCAGTGTGTGGTTAAGCAGTTGGCTATAGCTGCAGCAAGGTAAGTATTGTTCAAGGATGCACACTTCTGTATACAAAGTGTAATGCTTTGTTCAGACAAAATATTGCACTGGAAGAGGAAACAAGTCAAGCATCAAACACTCTCTGTTCTCTCCTCTGCAAACATTTGGATAGAGAGGGAAGCTTTGCCTCCAACGCCGCTGGAACCATCTTCCAAAGTCACTGCTAACGTCTGAAAGAGTCCGGAGTTATCTGAGTAATGTGAAGAATGAGGAATCGCTGCTGAAAACTCAGCCTTTCAAAGGGGTCAGATTGTACAAAAACCCCATTCTGCTGTAAATGTGTAGCAGGCAAGGACAATACAAAGTTAGATTTCTTAAAGGCAACTTACTAAGTAACAGTGTATCTCAGTGCCCCAGCGGTAAACACTGGGACTATGAGACTGGCCAGGTGGGAAAAGAAAGGTGTGACATTAGCAGGCACAGCTTCCCTTTCCTCCCAAATCTGTTCAATACCTTCTGCTGGTTGATCTTTTTGACAGTCCCCTCATCCCTCCTACTTTACCTCATCTACAGCTCAGTGCTCTCTGTTTTATATTCCGAGACTACAGTAAAGTCCATGTCTTACTGAGATCCAGAGAAAACTCCCCGCTACAGAACCCAGCTGTAATCCGAATCAAGCTAATGTACGAGTTCAGAGAGGCTGAGTGGAAAAGGGGTTGCTAGCAAACCTTGCAGGAATGCCCAACTCACCACCATCCTCACCAGAGAGCACACACCCTCTGACCCGGCCTGCATACACACCTAGGAACTCCTTCCTCCCTTCTTAAGTGACCCCAATGCCCAGCCACAGGTGCAAGCTTTGTACCCAGACACTGCTCTCCAAACAGAAAAGGCTCATAGTTCAGAAGCTGGGAGGGGAAAAGCAGCCAGGGGAAAACCAGACAGCTCTGGATTAGGGAATACTTTAGCCATAACAGCTACTTGACACCTTTTGCCACCCACTCACCCACCCAGGCTGTGACTGTCCACCCTACCCTATTTCAGTCTACCACAAAGCGGGCACAGGGATGAGCATCATTGTCCAAGCATATGCTTCCATGGTATTTGCAGAAGCCATCTGGAAAAATCACAGGGTGTGTGTGTGTGTGTGTGTGTGTGTTGCTGGCTCGGGCACGAATATGCATGTACAAGTGTGTGTCTCACTCCTGCATGCTCTGTGATTCCCTCTGCAACATCATGCAGGCAGGCAGTTCCAGGCAGGGTCCAGAAATATACGGCATGTTGCAAGGGGCCTCCGTGGTTGTTAGCAGTCTGTGGCTCTCTCTGACTGCATCCCAAGCTCCAGCTCTGGTGGACTTTGGGAACAGCCTGCCCCCTTCTGGTCTCCTTGAGCTCCACAAAAGGGCAGGGGTGGGGGTGGGCACAGCTTGAGGAGGATAGACCCCCTAGTTCTAGCCATCCTACGCACAATGCAGCCTCTGGGGGATGAATTTGAGAAAGGGAGAAGCGACGGGAGAGACACGTATACGACAGAAAACTCCAGTACAGTAGCAGCAACAAGACTGAACGGTTGACAACTACTAGGAATGGAAAAGTAAAAGAAAAAAGGAACAGAATGCGTACATGTCTACATGGGAAGGCAAAGAAATGGAAACACTGGGGGACACAGGTGGGAAGACGGACGCAAACCTACAGATGAAAGCAAGACTGCAGACAAGCCCAGTAACTCTGTTGCTAGGACTGGGAATCCAAAACCATGGCTAAAAGGGGATGTGGCACCCTGACACCCACCTTTCCAATTCCAGACCTGATTGACTGGGCTAGGACAAGAGGGAATAATACGCCTAGCTGAACACACACGGAGGGGTTGCGGATCGTTTTAGAACATCGGAGAGTGATGAAGAAACCAGCAGTTGGTTTCTTTTCTTCCCCTCTCGATGATCTCAACAGGTGGTCTGTGTACCCTGAGAGTACCTCCTGAACCCCATTTGCAGAAGGTACACTGAATCCCATGGCCCCCTCCCGACCCTGCCTGCTTCCACATAGGGCCAGCGGTACATGCTCTTAGATCCTCTCACCTCCCAGGAGGTCTCTAATTCCAGAAAGAATAGTGTTTCAGCAGGAACACATGATCAACTCTGGGAGTTCAAAGGCAGTGAGTGCCTGGGTCCCCTCGGGTACAAACAGGAAGGACTTGGGGACATTGAGAATGCTCAGGTTCTCACCCACAAACCTTACTCTCCACTCTGCACCACAGGTGAGGGCTAGACATCTCCCTGGTAGCTATACGGCAGCCAAATGCCGTCAGATCAAGTCCTGAGACTGCTTCAGTCCACAGGCACAAAGAGCTACGCTCAGGCAACAAGGGTCAAGACAACCCCAAAGAACTTAAGCACATCAGAAAGCACTCCTGACATACAGTGTCAAGGCAGTCTTCAGCGAGGGCTGCCCGAGTGACAAGCAATAACAAGGACTGTTCACTTCCTACAGATCCTAGAAACACTCCCCTGGTGGCTACTGCCCTTCAGATGCTAGGCAATTCTCTGCAGGGATGATGGACAGACAGTCACATGGCATCTCACGCCAGCCCTCAGACAGGCAGACACTCATTCCCACGCAGAGCAGAGACCCTGTCCCATAGTTAAGGACTCAGTTTCCCTGCCTTCCTAGCTCAGAAAAAGGTGAAACAGATGCCTCCAAAGAAGTTGGGGACAGGGGAGGAAGACAAGCTGCGGCCCCACCTAGGCAGCCAGGTGGCCCTAGAACTGTGGGAGACAGATTCGGAGCCCTGGCTGTCCGCATCCAAGCATACCGGGAGGTGTGGTGATAGTGCACCCAGACAGACAGTAAGTGCAACGGGCCACCTATGTAAAGTCAGAGACAGACAGCTGGGACCAAGAGGCAGTACCCTGAAGCTGCGGATCCCGGAGGAGGTGAAGTCAGGGAGGGCAGGAGATGGCAAGGTTAGGGACTGAGGAAGGTGGAGACAGAAGCAGCAGACACCCAAAGGGGAAAACAGAACTCAAAGTCAGATCAGGCACTCATGACCCAGTGTGGATTTGGGTACCAGGGACGTGGTGGAGGACTTGAGACACTCATTCCAGGTCCCTTCTCAGCCCACAGCAAACAGCTCAGACCAGAGAGGCTGCGTGGAGAACCTCCCCTAAGCAGCGGCTGAGGATCCGGTCACGATCCGATGCACGCACTCGGGTGGGAGTGAGGCTTCAACGCCCCCACCTAGAGAGCAACTAGGGCACCCAGCAAGAGTGACAGGGAACAGGACCCCCTTGAAAGCGCGTCTCCCCTGGAGCTCACTTTCCAGACCCCAAGGGGGCGGTCCTCAGACTCCCGCACAGAGCATAGCAGCTCAGTGCACGACCCTGCAGCTGCCCAGGGCAGCCAGGGCAGCCAGGGCAGCCAGGGCAACCAGGGCGCAGAGTCCCTCCGGATACCCCGACTAGAGTGGCCAGGGCTGGTGGCGGCGTGGGTAGGGTCGCCTATCTGTCTCTCTCTGTCCGCGCGGATCCCGATCCCCTTCTGAAAGGGCACCTTACCCTCGCTCGGGCGGCCAGTGCCCCGCGGCTGCCAAGCTGCTGCGCGCGGGCTCCTCCGGGGCCGCCTCCCCGTGCTCCTCCTCCGCCGGCTCGGCCTCCGGGTCCTCCGCGGGCTGCGGGCGGATGGGCAGCCAGGTCCCTGCGCTCCCGGCGAGGGGCCGCGGGCTGCTGCTGCTGCTGCTGCTCGGCTGCTCCCGCCGCTGCCCCCGCGCGCCGCCGCTCGCCAGCCCCGGAGTCCAGGCTGCTGAAATTCCACACCACCAGCGTCTGCAGCAGCAGCACCATGAGCGCCGCCAGCAGCGCCGAGTGCGAGCGCCGCGCCAGCCTCCGGGCGCACGGCGCCGCCACCATCTTCCGCGGCGGCCCGGGGCGAGCGGGGTGCCGGGACACCCCGGTGCGCGCTCTATCCCGGGGGCTCCGCGCTCGGGCCCCGCCGCCGTCGCCCGAGCTCGCCGCTGCTCCTCCTCCTGCTCCTCTCCTCCACCTCCTCCTCCTCCCTTTCCTCCTCTGCCGCCGCCGCCGCCGCCGCCTCCACCGCCGCGGCGCGGAGTTTTCAGACGGGCAGGGACCCGGACGTCACCAGGAGGAGGGGAAGGCGGGAGGCGGGCGCGGGGAGGCCGCGGAGGGGGCGCGGCGCGCGCGCGCGGGGACACGGTGAGAGGAGGGAGCTAGCCCTGTACGATTCTTCTTCTCTTGGGCCAGGGTCCCCACCCCAGCCCCAGGGTTCTGGGGCGGGCGTTTAGGGGACCAGGCCTGGGGAAGGGGCCATCAGGGACCCGGGCCTTGAGCAGAGGGCGGGGCCTGGAGGAGGAGCCGAGGGCAGTGTAGGGAGGAGAAGGTGAGGGAGGGGGTGGGGGCGAGGGGAGCAGACAGACATCCCCAAAACAGGCGTGGGAACAAGGTGGTGGTGCGAAAAGACCAGTACTCGGGGTAGAGAAGGGGGAAAGTGGGGGACAGAGGAGTCAACGGAGCAGCTCGGCTTGCGGAGGTCAGGAAAAGGGAGAGAGGGGTCCTGAGACCCTGGGTTCCATGTGGCCAGAAAGCTAGAGGCGGAGTTGCAGGAGGCGCGGAGTTTTCCGTCCCGGGATCTTCGGTTACGCTGAGAAAACCTTAGCAGGTGGAGATGGAGGAAACGTGGGAGTGTCACAGGTCCGGGCTCTTGCAGCCCGGGATTCCTGGATCACCGAGTGAAGCGATGGGGAGGAGGTTCTCAATGACTCTCCGAGGTTAATCAGCACAAGCACTGTGACTTCTGAGTCACCCCCCACCCCAGGGCCAACCAAAGATGCAGGGCTGGTTGACTCACTTCTCCAGTCCCCAAGGACTCACAATCCAACATCCACCAAATCCAGTTGGCAAGTGGATGCTTTGGCGGCTAAAGGAGTTTCCCAGCCCTCCAGGCCGTAAGCTGAAGGCGCCTGGCCAACCACAGAGTCTTCCTTCTTGCTCTTCTTTCCATCCATCCATCCTGACTGGCTGTGTGCACTCGGTTCAGAGCTGGGTGAGTCCAGCCTTGCTGTGTAAGGAGAAGCACTTTCCTGTCCTGGTTGGTGACCTTGAGCCACCAGGACTGCCCCCTTGACCTTGGCCTGTGCTCTGTCCTCTATCAATGAGAGTTTGGAAGGAATAATCTCTCTGAACTCAAGTTTCACCCAGCCCTCTCTGCCTCAGTCTTATTGCCTTTTCCTTTTGATGAGTAGCAGCTATGAAAGTCTGCACATGGTGCAGGTGGGAGGGTGCTGATGTGTCTGTCAGTGAGTTGGGAATTTACAGTGAATTCTGACTTTGTTTCCTGCCTTTTTGAACATCATCCTGGTTTTTAGAGGGAAGAGAGTGGATATGTACAGAATCTATCAGAGACTGAGGCTGACAGCAGCAAGAAATGGACCCTTCCATCCACCGTATCAGCATACCAGAGCACCAACCTGTGTCAGATGTGGAGCCAGGTACAAGAATCCCAAGGTGAGTAAGGATGACTCTTACCTCCAGTAAGCTTGAGGGCCAGTCAGTATGGAATCTCAAAAGGAAATGTGGTCAGCATCACTACAGAGACTTAGAAAGGGGCCATGGGCTCATGAGAGTACTTCTGGAATAGCTTGTGTCCTAGGCCAACCTGCTGCCCTGGTGGCCTGAAGTCCAGTCCAGAGTCCTCCAGCTCTGCAGCCAGGCACAGAGGCATTCCCACCTCACCAAGAGTGAGACTGTGTAGGAGAGTAGCTCCCTGGCTCACCAGTCTCCTCTTCTCTGCTTAGCCGTTGGGAATATTGATAGTTCATGAAATAAAACACCTGGTTTAACCATCTAAAAATAAACCTTACTGGATCATATAACTAGATATTTCAGAGGACTGACTCCAGGCATAGCTTGATCCAGCAACCCAGAACTACTACTGCAGAATTTTCTTTCCTGTTCTCCTCTCTATTTTACACGGGGTCTGTTTCCCATTGGACCATCACAAGAGGCCTGGCTTCTGTGGCTGAGACTAGTTGTAACTTTGGTTCATTTCTAGTCCAGGATTCTCTTTGAAGCTACAGAGAGGATTTTTCTCATGGAGTCATCTATAGGTCCAAAGCTACCCCTAAACTAGTCACAGAACCCAGGAAGTCAGACCATGGAAATGAATGTAACCAGGGTCCCATGATTCACCTCTGGCCCTGGGGTAATGCTAGCATCTCTGTAAGCACTCAACTGCTCCATAGCTTCAGGTGGATGGGTGCAAGTAGGTGTAGAAGAGTGGCCTGCCTCACCTATCAGTGCAGTCTCCACTGAGTCTCTTCCATCATGGTCAAATCATCTTCCCTCCCAGGACTTCAGCTGCTACGACGTGAGAAGTTAGAGGAGGCGTAAACACAGCTTCCCAGTCCTGCACTGGCTGGCTGTGGGGAGTATTCCAGTCCCCAGTCCACCCTTGTTTCAAGACCACTACTGCATTTTGCCTGTAAAGCAGCAATGACTTATGCTTCCTCCACATGATACAATTAACTGGAGTCCTCCAGAGCCCAGGCTCTGATTCAGCTCCCTCAGGGCCCTGATGCTTCAGCACTGAGGTTAAAGATCCTGGGCCTAAATCCCTGGAGAAACACAGTTGTTTATCTTGACTCATAAAAAGCCACTCAAGAAAGAGGTTTGGTTGCCCTGGGCAGGTAGGTTGGAGACGCCATAAACAACTCATTTGATGGGTTTCCGGATGAAAATTTATTTACCTGAGGTGACGTCTGGGATTATCTTCTTCTGGCTCCAGGATAACTAGCCCTTCAAAGATTTTAGAGTGAATGGGGAAGTAGAGATGGAACAGAAGAAAGATTAGCTGGGAACTGCAGTGAATTGAGGTGTCTAAAATGTCCATCTCACAATGGCAGACACAGTCAGCTGGGAGATCCAGAAGGTGGGTACCCTAAGTTTGCTGAATCTCACCAAACAGAAGTGGCTTCTTTAAACTGAGAGAGAGAGAGAGAAGACTTATTTTCATTTTTCAGTTACTCATAAAGAGACGGGTGGCCCTGATTGATAGGACAGAGGCCAAGGTTCTACTTGAGACTCAGCAGTGACTCCAGCCACTGTATCCAGAGTCCTCAGGGTTTTCAAAGCTGTTTTTCATTCCACAGAGATACATGAGACCCTATTCCATGCAGGCATCCTGCTGGGCAAGCGAAATCTGGGGATGATGAAGGTTCCCCAAGGAACCTTTCTTTTTAAATATGGTTCCTAAGCTCTCATACTATGGCTCCCAGGAGCCAGAGCTCTAGAGAAGTTTCACCTGATTTGTGGGATTCCCACCACCACCCATAATGCCAAATCTTGTTTCTCCATCACTTTTCAGGATGAAAAGCTGAATTAGTCAGTGAGCATTTTGAGTTATTGCATGTGCCGGGTCCTAAGCTAGCGATTGTAAAGGAAATGCTTAGGACAGTCTTCGCCCTCAAGAAACTGTCCAACAGGACACAGGGTCAAATGAGATGGGTGATGAGATGGGTGAGCACTAGACCGCCCAGGTTTAACGAGTGCGCCTGCGTATGTACCTGTGTGTTTGTGCATGTGAAGGCCAGAAGGCAACCTCGGGGGTGGGCTTTTGGTTTATTTAGTTGTTGTTTACTTTTCTTTGTTTTGTGACCTGGAAATTAAAAAAAAAAAAAAAAAGGCTAAGCTGCCTGGAGTCAACTGCCTCCAGCTCCCCAGAGCTTGGACGGAAAAAAACAGTTGCTCTCACAGCCAACTTTTTAATGTGGATTCTGGGGAGCGAGCTCCTTTACTGACTGACCTATCTCCCTGGTCCCTCTGCTGAATTCTAACTGAGCCGCTAAGTATCCATTGTTAATTTCTATGCCTCAGTTTCCTCCCCCATAAGATTGGGCTTAACACAACAGGACCTTTATTGACACTTTCTCATAAGGATTAAATGAGATAACTAACACAAATAACTTTTTCATTCAGACTGACATAGAAAACCAACCTTATTGGCTCTCTCTCTCTCTCTCTCTCTCTCTCTCTCTCTCTCTCTCTCTCTCTTGGAAAATGGAGGCAAGAGAATTACCAGTTGAGGCCAGCCTGGAGTACACGGCGAGCCCCTATGTATTGATATTAAATGGCCAGAAGCATTAGAGAGGAGAAAGTTTAGTTATGGAAGGCTGCCTGGAATAGGCTATGTAACACCAGAACTTTGATGCTCCAGTTTCTCTGAGGGTAGATTCTTGCATCATTCCTTTACCTCTGCTCTCTCTGCCACTTGGTACAATGCAAGGCTTTGGGTGAAATCTGTTTGTGGAGTGAACAACTGTCTATCACAGGGTTGGGGCAGGTACAATGAACCAGGGGCATTCTTCCACAACGAAGCAGGTAAAAGAAGACTGGTGTCTTGCAGGAGACATGAAAATGGTGACATTGTTTGTAACAGTGTGTCACCTATTTCATGTGAAATGGAAGCATTAGCCAGTGGAGGGTGGAAAGACTCTCAGCTGGATCACAACCTGATCACCAAGTAAAGAAATTTCCTGTCCTTTCCAAATGTTCCTGCTGTAGAGTTCTGGTGAGCTGGGGCTTCGCCCACCTCCTTCTGAATTTAAATAAACTTCAGACTAACATTCAAATTTAGCGAGGTATATGGTTTCCGTTTTAATCTCAATCACATGTCTGTTTCTTGTTTTTATAGTCGTTTTTTTACCCAAATGCTACCAATTGACCCAACTTTGCTCTTCAAAAGAATTTTTTAAACTCCTTCTGAGTTTCACTTCTGCATCAGCACAGACATTGGAAAGCAGGTGGCTCACCTGCATCTGTTCGATGGTGTAAGACTCCTGCACGGAACACCTCCACGCCCAGAATCTCTGAGTGTCTCCAGCAGATGCTCACAAGCCCGGGACGGGGGGAGGTTCCTGGGCAGCAGTGTCAGAGAAGACCCTACTGAGCGTGGGCTCTGCCCTTCACCCTATCCCGTCCAAGGGAAGGAAGTGGCCTCTGCCAGCCCCCACATGCTGACAGACCAACAGCTGACCCATAGATGTGTTTCCAGGGACTCTTTCATCAGCAGAGGGCGCTCTAGTTAGCAAATAACTTTCCTGTGGTCAGTTTCCTGCAGGCAAGATCTGGAGATAGCCAGAAACCGGGGTGCTAGATGGAGGAGTTCAAAAGGAAGTCTCAGGTGTTTGCAAGCCTCAATGGTTACAGGAAGCTAAAGGGGAAGACAGGGGAAGGAAGAGGCATCGGGTAAGGACAGTGAGAAACACTATTTTTGATTGAGAGATTCTCTGCTTGTTTGAAAGCAGTACTTGACGCTGTGAAGTATCACAGCCTCAACTACAATCTGGCGACACTCCGATGGGTGACAAGGGGAACAAACTGTTCCAGCCCCCACGTCTCAAACTAGACTCACGGGGATGCTTTCCTTTCAAACAAATGTACTGGTGCCAAATTCGGTTCCTGGGACTCCAGGGGTGCCGGTGAGTACATCCATCCCTTTGCTGCTGCTGCCGGTATCTATCCCCGAGGTCAGAATCCAGCATCTTGGCCTTCTAAGATGCACTGAAAATCAACAGGTCTCCAGGAATCCGCTAGGCCTTCAGTGCCAGCTTGGGACTGCTGAGACATCCAGCCTCATGTACTGAGCAACTACAAGAGTGTTCAGCACTGGGATGTCATTGGACTACCCTGGCCCTGTGGTGTAACCCGCTCTAATAAATCCCCTTTGCAGCATATGCTCGCCCTACCTGTTTTGTTCCTCTGCAAGCCCACCCCCAATACAACCATCAAGGCCAAGAATGATGATAGGTGGTAAGGAGAGAGCGTAGTTACTTAGCATTTACTAGTGGCTAATATTTCTGTTACACACTTCAACACATTATATTCTTCCAATACTGATTGAGAACACCCTTGACACTCGGGGTAGGGAGTCCATGGAAACTCAACCATGAATGAGGCAACATAGAAGACTCCCATTGCTGTGGACCTTGTACCCAGTGGGACAGGTGCATCAGGACAAGTAGGTAAATTTGCAAACAAATGGGTTTGGAGAATGTTGAGTGCAATGAAGAAATTGAAAATTAAGAGATGCGTTCGAGGGAGCAGGGTAGGCCAAGTCCCCACAGGCCACAGGGAGGCCTCATGAGGTAATGACTGTGGAATAGTACATGCCTTGTCCTTGAGATACAGCTCCTGCAGGACTCTGACTCCTTTTATGCCTCCAAAATCCACCATGGACTGAACAAATGACTGTAGGTCTATTTTTTTTCTTTCTACTGTATAAAAAACACTCTTGGAATCTGCAAGTTGTTGCTATGTTCATTGGACTTCTGTGCTTGGTTTTTTCATAAACAGTGATTAATAAAAATTTAACTATTTATGGGGACATAACAAGAGCTATGGAATGGTTTGGGTGAAACTTACAAAATAAGAAAAAAGATAAAATGCACCATCTTAGGCTTGAAAAGACAACTTAGTCTGCAAAGTGTTTGCTAGTCAATCAATAGGACCTGAGTTTGATTCCTAGCACCCACATTAAAAAAATAAAAAAAGAGGCATGGTAGTATGTGTCCAGAATATCAGTCAGCACCAGCAAGGCAGAGACAAGGTGGATCCATAGGACTTGCTGGCTAACTGGTCTACCTTACTTACTGAGTTCTAAACTAGTGAGAGACTCCCATCTCATAAAAACAAGACAGATGGTAACTGAGGAAGACAACAGAGGTTGTCCTCTGAACCTGCACATGCAAATACTCATGAACTCACACACATACACACACACACACACACACACACACACACACACACTGCCCCCCCACATGTACACACACCGTACCATCTTACAAAGGACAAGAAGCACTTGGTGTGTTATAGGCTTTAGTCCTGCTTCATCCAGATACCCATTTATCTGACTCACTGCCCCCAGCCACTCCAAAGTCCCTTCTTCCACAGTTCCTGCTGTCCAGCCCATGGATCTTTCTGTGGTCAAGCACAGCTCTGTAAACCCAAAATTGCTTGACCACCTGATTTGCAGTCTCAGCTCCTCACCCCCAAAATCATCCTGTTCTACTGCTGGTTCCCTTGGAGACTCCGGAATCTTATATCCAAGGACTCCATTCCAAAAAGGCTTCAGGAAAATGGGACTTTTCTGGTTAGCTCTTTGGTATGGTGGCATTCACTCACTACCTACTATTTCCTTTTTGGTGACATACTCTGATTTTATTTGGAGTGACAGTGTGCCCCAGACAAAAGCAGTGGTTATCAGTGTTCTAGTTAGAAGTGATGTGAGAAAGGATAGTAGGAACCAGTGACAAAACTCCCAAGAAATACTTCCAGATGAAGGCATTAAATCCACTGGGACCAGTTCTCCTTTGCCCCTTCTCCTTTCCATTCTTTCTAACTGGATATAGCACGTGTAGGGAAGTCTCAGCAGCTGCTCTGTAACCAAGAGAGTAGAGGTGGAAAACCAGACAGATAGAAGCATCCTGGGACTCTGCAACTTTTAGAGTCTGCTGTATCTGACCCAGTCTCCTCTTTCCTCATAAGGTTTCTTCATGCTAAAGTCCTCATCATCTTTGGAACACACCAGAAGGGTGTTCACCTCATAGCATTGCCCTATCTGTTCATTCTGTCTTTGCTCAGATGTCTGTGTCCCTTGAGGCTCTGCTCCTGATCATTTTGGTGGATGTAGTGGCTGGGCCAGCACCACCAATCACTTTGACTCTATTCCATCTTTCCCATAGCATGAACTACCTAGATTACACGCTCTGTGTAGCCTGGCTTCCTGTGTCCTGGCCATTGCTGTACTTGATGCTAACCCCTTGGAATACTGTAAGTCTTCCGACACAGTCCAGAGACAGCTCAGCTAAGAGTGAATGTTGTTCTGGCTTGGGTCATTAGTCAGATAACTGCTAAGTCAGATATAATAGATAATCCAGCTAACAGGAATAAATGTCACATAAAAAGAGAGCCTATGGCCACCATGGAAAGAGGTGGCTACGGACAGGAGGGTTGCACCTGCCATGGGTGTCAGACATGGCTGTGGTTGAGGATGAGATTCAGGATGCAAACCACCCAGTTGACAATGCTACATTCTCTCACCAACCTGTGAACCAATAGTAACTGCTTTTCTCATTGCTGAGGACCAAATACTTAACAAGAAGTGGTTTAAGGGAACAAGGATCTATTCTGTGACCGTCCCACCATGATGAGGAAGACATGGAAACGGGCTGATCACATCTCATCCACCATCAGGTAGGGAGGGGCTATAAAAGCTCAAGGTCTGCCCTCAGTGACCCACTTGCTCCAACAAGGCTCCATTTCTTAAAGGTTCCACAATCTTCCCCAACAGTGCCACTAGACGGGAGCCAAGCGTTGAAATGCGGGACTGTAGTGGACAGTTCACACTCAAACTGTGGGCAAGCCTTTTATGTCTGTCCTTCTGAGTGTGCAAAGCTGGGAGAACACTGAATCCTCCTCCTATGATCGTCAGGGGACTTAATGAATGAATGAATGACTATTTCAAGCCCTTACTGTGGCATCGAGCTCCTGCTGGTGCCTCACACACAGACTGAAAACTATTAGAAAAACAATGAGAACTTGATAAAATAAATACATATATATTTGAAGAAATCAATACACTTGTTTTTCATAGCAAGGAGATAAATAGAAATAAAAATGAAGAGGGACATGGAGAAAACACTGAGAGCAACCTGCAAACTCAATTCCCCAGACTCACTGAGAAGCAGAGGAACCTGGACGGAAAGCAAACAGCCGGTTCTTTTAATCATAAAGTCTATTATACTCCCAGACACAGAGAAAATCTCAACAAATGCAATAAAAAGGACCTTTCTTAAGCTAAATTCTCTGTGATCACAATCCAATGGTTTTAGAAATGTTTTTATTTTTTTTAACAGCATAAAATCTGAGACATACAATCTTACACAACTCATCCTTAACAATACTTAACGGACTCAGGTTTTAGTGTATGTGATGTGCTGTGTGTGTGTGTGTGTGTGTGTGTGTGTGTGTGTGTGTGTGTGTGCAACAATAATAATTAAAAGAGAAGTCATGAATCTGACAGAGTTGGGGGAGGGAACATGGGAGGCATTGGAGGTTGGAGAAGGAAAGGAAAGAAACAGTGTAAATGCAGTACTCACATATGAAATTTAAAAAATAAATAAATAAAATTAAAGGTCAAATCTCCTATAATCAGATTGGTAAATACCCCAGTTGTCATCGGAGAGCTTTCTAGTAACTGACGGAAACAGATGCAGAGACAGTCCACAGTCAAGCACTGGGCTGAGCCCAGGGAATCCTATCGAAGAGAGGAGAAATGAGCCGGGCAGTCAGGTTCAGCACAAGGAAGCCCACAGAAGCAACTGGCCTGCTCACGGTAACTCAACTGACTACAGACTAGACCGATGGCTAGGGAGCCTGCATGGGACCAACCTAGGCCCTCTGTGTATATGTGAAGGTTGTGTGGCTTGGTCTACTTGTGGGACTCCTGGCAGTGGGAGCAGGGCCTATTCCTAATGCTTTGGAAGGCTTTTAGTACCTGCTCCCCATGCTGGGTTGCCTTGCCCAACCTTAATACAAGGAGAGGAGCTTAGTCCTACCTCAACTTGATGGGCCATGCTTGTTGGTACCCATGGGAAATCTGTTCTTTTCTGAACAGTGTTGGAGG